TGACAAGGTCTTTGAAAGCTTAGGAGATAGACAAATTCAAGCAAAAATGTACTTGGTAAAAACAGATTTAGAAAGAATTAGAAAATAGGATCTTTTTCAGTAATGATTAAATGAATTGAAACATTTAATACCTCTTAATTAAAAAAAAGAAATCAAAGACTCACTAGAAATTGGATAGTTGATATGCAAGTGCTACCAGTTTTAAGGAACTTCCAAAATTATATAGATGCCTCCAAAAAATGGAAAATAAGGGCATATTCTACAATTCATTTTATGAGACCGAAAAATTTTGATAAAAAGTTAGACAGGTGGTATGAAGAAGAAAAATAGTCTGTTGTGTTCATGAATGTAGATAAAAACTTCTGAACAAAATGTTAGCAAAGCAAAACCAATTTTCTATAACAATATTAATAAACTGTCCAATTTGGGTATATGAAAGTATTATAAGAATGTTTTAATAATGCAGAAATATGTAAGTGTATATGCCCACATTACCAATGAAATGAAATCATCTCAATATCTCACAAGGTGCAGAGAATATTAACATTGATTCATAATAAAAATTCTATATAACAGAAATAGAAGAAAACTTTATTACCTGCATGAAAGGTGTCGCTCAAAAAAGAAAAAGAAAAGAAAATCCGTACAACAAACATCATCCTAAGTTGGGAAATTATGAAAGTATTCCATTTAAATTCCGGGACAAGATATGGATATTCTGTATAAATACTCTAATTCAATAAAGTATTGAAGCTCTGGCCAGCACAATAAGACAGGGAGAGAAATAACAATTATAAGGATTGAAGATCACTAATAGTACCATTGTTATTAGCATATGATACAGTTGTTTACGTAGAAATCCAAATGAATCTACAAACATAATATAGGCAATAGAAAAGAGGAGTAATGTGGCTGTTTGTGAGATCAATATATAAAAGTCAAATATATTTATATATACCAGCAACAAAAACATTAATTTTAATTAACAATTTAAAAATTTAAGATACCAACATAAACTTTAAGACAACCAAGAATAAATCTAACAATGACCTGGAAGCAAAAAAATGTTGTAATTTATTTAAGGATATTAAAGAATAAGTTGATTGAAAAATCCTATATTCATGGATGAGGAATTAACACCATATAGATGTTATTTCTCCTAAAACTGATCAATAGACTTCATGTAATGCAATTTTTTAAAACATTTATGATTTTTGTGTGTGTGTTTTTATTTTCACCCTTATGGTATATGACAAGTTAAATTTAATATGTGTACAGTAAAGCAAAGAAAAAAATAATAGCTAAGATTTCATGTTCAATGAGACATAGATTAACTATAAAGCTATAGTGTTGTAAGAGTGTGGTACTGGTTCAGAGATGGACAAATTCATGAATAAAATAGAACAGATTCTAAAAAGAAAAATACCCACATATGGAAATTTGATTTATGATGGATTTGCATGATAGAAAACTGAATTATCCAAAACATGAAAAGATGGATTTAAAAATGAAAAGAAAAATAGTTGCACAACACCCAAAAGGACAGAAGAAAGGAGGCAAGAACGGGAGGAATGGAGAAAGAGAAAGGGAGGGCAGAGGGATGAAAGAAGGCAGTGAAGAAGGGAAAAGAAAAAAGGGATCACTACTAGACAGAGCCACTCTAGAGTATTGTGTATATTTTATATATATTATCTATTCTATTCCAATAACTCACACCATCCTATCTTACATCACCACATAAAATTTCTTTGTCAAAATTAAAACTAAGGGGCTTCCCTGGTGACTCAGTGGTTAAGAATCCGCCTGCCAACGCAGGGGACACGGGTTCAAGCCGTGTGGGAAGATCCCACATGCCGCGGAGCAGCTAAGTCCGTGCGCCACAACTACTGAGCCTGCGCTCTAGAACCCGCGAGCCACAACTACTCAGCCCACGTGCCACAACTACTGAAGCCTGCATGCCTAGAGCCCGTGCTCCACAACAAGAGAAGCCGCCGCAATGAGAAGCCCACGCACCGCAACGAAGAGTAGCCCCTGCTCACCACAACTAGAGAAGCCCACGTGCAACAATGAAGACCCAACGCAACCAAAAATAAAATAAATTAAATAATTTTTTTAACAAATTAAAACTGAAATTTTAGGAGAGTAAATGTGAACTCTCTTCTGTCCACTGAGGAAACATTGTTTGTTACACAAAGCAGGCCAAAGTGCTAGCCATTTATCAAAAGATCGATAAACTTGAATACCTTAAAACTAAAATGATACTTGTTAAAATATACATTAAGGAAAGTAAAAAACTTTAAACCTATAGGAAATATTTGCCCCCAAAAAGAGAAAAAAACCCAAAAGGATTAAAATCAAGAAGTAAAGAATTTTTACAAATCAACAAGTAAAAAAGGAGTAGAGAAAAGATATGAAAAGGCATTTCACAAACGAGGAAACACATAAAATTACCAAGTGTGACATTACAAGTGTTAGGATGGGCTCGGCACAGTTTTTTTCCACCTTCTTTTACGTGCCTACATTGGTACAACTTCTATAGGAAACAGTTTGGCATGATATTGTAAAGTTGCAAAAGTGGTCACTGTCCATGAGCACCAGAAAATATGTCCAAAATGCATTTTTTATGAGAACATAAAGCTAATCAATCCAAATATCCATTGTATGGATTTTAAAAAGCATACCCACATAAATGGTATTAAACACAGCAGTAGAAATAAAATAACTCTTCAACTACACGTGGATGGAAATTCAGCTACTACATGGAGGAGTGTTAGTAACAATGCTGAGATGAAAAAGCAACATACAAACAATGTGTTGTTTATGGCATACACATGCTAACCTGAAATTCAGGATAGTGGTCACCTTTGTTAACGAGGAAGGGGGTGCTATAGGGAAAGAACGCAGGTATATGTAAGTTATTAGGAATATTCTACTCTCTGGGTTGGGCAACTGGTATATAGGTGTTTATTATATTGCTTATATAACAGCAAACTAACCAGTGATAGTCTGGAAGAAAATACTTCAGTATGTCTAACGAAAGGTAAATGCCCACAATACAATACATGAGGAAATACAGGAAATTTTCATGTTCTAAATATTTGTGGCTCTTAGTATCAGGGGATGGGGTTTTAGTTGATTTGTTTACATTTCTATTATGTTTACGCACTGTTTGTATTACATTAACCAAATGTTTTTTTCCAATGATGCTAATTTAAATTAAAATATCACTCATAATACGTAGAGTTTATAAGATAATAAAATGCAATTTATGGAAAAGAAGGACAAAGCTTTAAAGATGCAGTTCACAAAGGAGGTCACACATCTGTAAACCTACAAAAATATGTTCAACCCACTAGTAAACAGGCATGTGATTATGCAATAACAGCACCATGGTATTTTTCACTTATTGAAGAAACATCATAAAGTTGTTTATATGTAGTGTTTTGGAGTTTCAAGGAAGTGGACCCTTACATTTTCTACAGTGGGCGCCATTCAGAGGGTATCATAATGTTGTAGTGGAGTATTTCCCTTATAGAAGATTAGCTTTCAGAACATATGCACTTGTTCACATAAATGTATTCAAATAATGTTAATTACAATACCTGGTTTTTTGTGACAGTGAAACACTAAAGAGTTTAAAAGTACATGAAATGGCTTATTTAATCATAGAATATATACCCTATTTAATACATTCACTTATAATAAATCTTTATATATACACTGACACAGAAAGATCTCTGACGTTTTTAAGTCAAAAAATGCACACGGAGAAATTAAAAGGATGTATAGCATAATCCCATTTATGTTAAAAATATGTGTGATAAAATTTACATGTGTACATTTATATATGTAATCCTATAGAAAATGTTCTTGTGGTATCCGCAGGGCATGGGTTCCAGGACTCTCCAGATACCAAAATCCACAGATGCTCTTAGTCCCTTATATAAAAAGGCATAGTGTTTGCGCATACTTTAAATCGTCTTTAGGTTACTACAGTACGTAATAAAATGTGAATGATATGTAAATAGGTGTAAATACAATATAAATGCTTTGTAAATATATAGTTGCAGCTCACCAAATTCGAGTTTTGCTTTTTGAAACTTTCTGGATTTTTTTTTAAGATTTTTGATTCCTGGTTGGTTGAATCTGCATATGTGGAACTTGTAGATATGGAGGGCCAACTGTATTATATTGTTACCATTGGGGCAGGAAAGGTGAAGAGGCACATTCTAAATATTCTGTCCTATTTCAATTCTTTTTTTTTTTTTTTTTGCAAGAAAATAGGCATGTATGATTGTATAACTGGATGCACTACCTGCCTTTGTAATTTTCCCCAAGGTAGGTTGCATTAATAAGCACACTGCATGCAGTAGCAGCAGAAGCAGTGGACATTTATCACAGCTGACCCCGCAATTAGTCTTGAGTATTCCTGGGTGGCAAACACTGCCAGGCAGGTCAAAAGACAGTGGGAAGCCTGGCTTCTAGTTGCAGATTCAGTCAGAAGGAAACACTGAATACAGTTGGCTAAAACCTCATATGCAGCCTGATCATTTTCTCCCAGTAATGGAGAAGGCAGAAAACTCTCAAAGACATATTTACTGACCTATTGGTCACATTTATATAATTATTCAAAAGAATTGTTTATCAATAAAAATTAGTAAATGAAACAATTTTGTATATGTCACTCTGCATTATGTGAACTGCATACCACATATGGGCATATATCTTAATGAAAATTATTATAATTTATTAACTTTATTTTTTTAACTGTAGAGTTGATAAAAGAAAAAATATATTTATTATAGAATATAGAGTATATAATGACAATGTTTAACTTAGGACATGTTAATACTTTTATTTTAGAATTTCATTCTACATAAGAATTTAATGTTTTTCAATAAAATCAAAATCTTTCATTAGATGAAATGCTAAATATACAAAACTAAAAATGTCCTAATTTTGAAATATCAATCATGTGCCATAACATGCTTATTTTTCAGGTTAAACTTTTTCCGTGATGTTCCTGATTTCAGAGTGTTAGCCTGCGGTGGAGATGGAACTGTGGGGTGGATTTTGGACTGCATAGGTAATGAAGACACACATTTAACGTAGCTGGGGTGAGAGTGGTAACCTTAAATTCTGTGTATTTTGTTTGTTTATTTAGTGCATCCATATCTTTGGATGTGGATGCATTAAATAAACAAAATACATAGTGATACACTTAGACATCTGGAATGTTACACACTGTTTACTGGCTTAATTTATTCTTCTATATTTCAAATTTTTAACTGACAAAATAATTTACAAGTAACTAGAAATCCTTCTTTTCTCATTCATTTCTCTTGGAATTTAATAAGCTCTCAAATATTTCTGGATCTGCATTGACCAATCCTTTTTAAAAATAGGCCTCTTCATAAAAAAGAAAGATTGATTCAAAAGAAGTTTTACTATCTATATATATTGAAGCAAACTTATTTAGTCAGTGCAGTTGAGAATATTTTACCTTTTCATACTCTCAAAAATATTCAAATTAGGGCTCCCCTGGTGGCACAGTGTTTGAGAGTCCGTCTGCCGATGCAGGGGACACAGGTTCATGCCCCAGTCTGGGAAGATCCCACATGCCACGGAGCGGCTGGACCCGTGAGCCACGGCCGCTGAGCCTGCGCGTCCGGAGCCTGTGCTCCGCAACGGGAGAGGCCACAACAGTGAGAGGGCCGCGTACCGGAAAAAAAATAAAATAAATATTCAAATTTAAAATGAATACATATTGTCAGCACACTTTGGGTACGCATCTAACGACTTTAATCTACTAACATTTTTAAAACAGGTAAAATTGTATTCTTTGGCCTTCCAACAATCAATGTCAGTAGTGTTAATATATTTAAGGAGAAAAACCAGAGTTCAAGAACTGCAAAAATTAAGGAGTTGCTTGAACAATATCTGAGAACTTGTAAGAATTTTAATGAAAACAGGAGGATATTGTTGGTTTGCATTAGCCCTCAAAATCTAAGCCTTGGCTAGTACACTGTGGCACATCCCTACATAATCTATTCCCTCCCCGTTCCTACACACCCACATATGCTTACTTTGAAGGGCTGAGAAGAGAGAAAAATAAAGAAAAATAATATATGTTTGTGAGATTTGCTCAGTGATTCAAACAAAAGCATGTGGAATTTCAGTGGCAAATATCTTTACTGGACTCAAACACTATGTTGTATAATGTTGAACCTCAAACAAAACCTGGTAATCTTTTACGTCGTTGACTCTGACACAGAGCAGCACAAAACCATTGTTAGCGTTTTACTAACTTAGAATTCCACTACTTTCAAAATATTTTATTCCTTAAAGTGTACCTCGAGTTGATGTTGCAAAGGACTTTTTACAGGAAGCTACTTCTCCACTCTGCTTTCGTCCTTGTATGAATATTCCTGTGTTGCATATACCTGCATCCTTGAGAATTTGAACGGAGTTAATTCAAACACACTACAATTTTTAACTGAATTAACATATTTAAAAGGCTTTCCTCATGCATAAGTTTTGAAAATTCCTGTCACTCTGTGAATTTTGGTATTTATTTGTTTTATAAATTGCTAGAAATACATACAAATTAATCAATTTATAATTGTATATAACTATAAAATAGAACGTTTTATGTTTATAAGTACCTGGTGGAATGCCTTCCATGCCAAGCTGTGTTTATTTCATTGTTGTTCTGTCTGTGATCAAAAATTTATTTTATTTCAATTTTTCAATTCTACAGAAAAGGCAAATGTAGTCAAGCATCCTCCAGTGGCTATTCTGCCTCTCGGGACCGGCAATGATCTAGCAAGATGTCTGCGATGGGGAGGAGGTAAAATAGCTAAAAACAAAAAAAAAAAAAAAATCTTAAAAAACAGAGATATGGTACAGAGCACCCTTCCCCCCAAAACTAAATCCAGCATTTCTTCATTGCATGACAGCTGCCATGTGATTTCAGCAAACCTAATTGCTGTCAGATATGTAGTATAATTTTGAACAATCGTCTAGGGTAGAGAAACAAATAGTGGACCAAGAGTAAGACTGTGAGTGCTAATTATATACTTGATGGGGCAGGCAAGCTTCCAACCCTTTTTGGTTTTGGGGTTTCCAATTTAAGAAATGAGATAAGCATGGGATAACTCTAAAATAATGTTCACATTTGTAATCTCTGAGTGTGTGAGAAAATCACAAACAAAGGAAAAAAACTGAAAGGCTAACAAATGACTTGTCCAGGAATAAGTACAAGAGGTAACACATTTTCTGAGACCCACTTTGCACCAGGTGGTGTGTTCTGCACTTGGGGTACAGGGTTAAGAATAGAAAGAAAACAATATCTGCTTTCAACAGAGCCTTAAATTCTAGTGGAACATGAAGTCATGTATAAATTGTGAGACTTCCTACTGACAAGTAAGATGATAATCGACATAATGAACGACCTCACCTAGGAATTGATGAGGTGACATAAGAAGAATCCTAATAGGTGGATAATGACGGAGCCATATAGAACTGGGGGTGGACGTTATAGGCAGAGGGAACATCAAGTCCAAAGGCCCAGAGATACAAAGGCACTTGACATTACTGAAGGAACTGAAAATGGAATAGTGTAGATGGAACAGGTGAGTAAGGGGAGAATATTTCAAGATGAGATCTTAAAATAATATGAAGTGTCATTAACAGGCTAAACTTACCAGAAGATATCAAAGAAAAGAAAACCATATTTTGCTAAATAAACAAGAACCTAATCCTAAATATTTTTAGCATCTAGACTCAGAGAAGTTTGAAAAGTATCTCGTAAGACTGTAAATCAGAAGCCCTTGGGAAGCTTGTTAAAAATATAGTGGACCGACCTTACTTCAAATATGCTAAATGGAAATCTCTAGAGATGGGACCCGGGCAGTTGATTTTTTTTTTTAAGCAAACTCCCTAAGTAACTTGATTTACAACAAAGTTTGAGAAGAATTGTTCCATGAATACCTGGGCAACTTGTGAACTCTAAGATGTATATACAGGTATTTGTGTATTTGACAGAATTTGAAACCAAGTTAAAAAACATGGTATATGATATATTTGTAACTTTCATTAAGGATTTAACTTAGTAGAAGAATATTATAAAATACTGAGTTAAATTGTATAGAATCTAAAGATAGATATATATAGATAGATAGAATGAACCATTGCTTACGAGATGCTTATATTTGCCAATGTTAATATACGTGTATTGATTAAAAGGAAGAAATCATGCATGTGGCTTCTTACGTATTCCTCTGGAAATATTTTTGATATTTGAAAATTAATAATTTTATTTTGGTTTCAAGCTGGCACATGACTTAAATCTCAAAATTGATATAGAAGTTCCATTCAGGGCATCTTCTAATTATTTCCTTGTAAACAGTTTTAAAGATATTCTTATCAGTGGCCAAAGACACATGGATTATAGTATATGTCAAAGTGTATATTGATGATGAACTCTTTGTGCATGTCTAGCATGTGCTGGCACTATTCTAGGTGGTGGATATTAAATGAGAAAATAAAGGGTTCTTACCCTTTTGGAGGTTACATTTTCATTGAGTACACAGACAATAAATCACTGAATAATGAAATATATAATTACAAAATAAGGTCAAGGTTATGAAAGAATCAGAGTGTATTTTCAGAGAATAACCGAGGGGAACTATTCAGCTATATGGTCAAGAAGACCTCTCTGAGGAAGTAACATTTAAGCTGGATTTAAAATATGAGGAAGAAAGAGCGGGCTCTTTGTACTGAAAGGACTGAAGGAAGGCTGATGTAACTCTAAGAGGTCATGGGGCAGTGGGTAGGTATGGCCTCAGCGGGGTGAATAGGATGACGTTGGAGAGAGAATCAGGAGCTAGATTATGCAGGTCTTAATGGTCATGGTAAAAATTTTATGTGATTGACTTTGAAGCACACAGTGAAACTTTGGAAGAGTTTCAAAAGCAGAGTGGCACAGTGACATTTGTGTTTTCAAAATAGGTTAATTTGGGGGCATAAAAGACTGTTAAGAAAATGTGGCAATGTGGGGAAGCATAGTTTTTGAAAGGAGAATTTGGATTACCATTGTATTTAGAGGATAAATGGGCTGGGCTAGGGTGGTGGTAGTACAAATGAGACAAGTGCACACACTGACATTTTCAGGGATAGACTGATACAACGTGCCAATAGATTGGGTAGGGACTTTGGGGAAAGTGAGGTTTCAAGGGGAACTGCAAGATGCCCAAGGTGAGCAATTAGGAAAATGGAGGTGCGATCTGCTAGAGTTTACTAATAAAGAAACATGCTCTGGGGTGGCATTATTTCTTGTCAGGCGCCTAACTTTGAGCAAGTTGCTTAACAACTGTGTGCCTCAGACTCCTCATCAGAACTTGAAGAAAATAATGGTATCTGCCTTGGAGGTTCTTACACCCAACTATCAAATTGTTTCCCCAGTGTCTGGGCTGAGTCCTTCCTGTAATTATGGTAATTATCATTATGCTTAACATTTGGGAAAGAAATTACTTTATTCAACCAATAATCATTTTGTTCATGTAATATCACTGGAATCTACTGACTGGAAGCTTAATTTTTATGAGTATATTTACATATCTTGGAAAACATAACACTGTACAAATATAAGATGTTGTAGGACATTTGAAAAAAATACTTAATTTACATTCTCTTTGCAATTCTTCTGGCAATGATTAATCTCTCAAGCAAAATTCTGAAGTTTACTGCAAGAAAAGTGTTGTTTTGTGAAGAGTAAGGGGGTAGGAGGCAGAATTTTACATGGAGCACACTCTTACAAATATATGTTGTTGCTTTTCTTTATGTGATTTTAAATTTGTAAAAATTTCTATGACATTTTAGATAGAATCAGTCATTATGATAGCATCATATCATTGAAGCGAAGATAAATACTAATTACGTTTTCATTTGGTTGCTTAGCCTAGAGTGATTATAGGCTTTAAATCAAAATAATGGAAGCAAAATAGCATCATTCTTTTCTGGAACAAGCTTTGTTTGCATATTTAGTAAGTTTAATTTATCTTTTTTTAAAAAATATAATCTTTTTGAGTTCAGGAATCCTATTTATAGTTATGGATCATTATTAAACAAGCTTGAGCACAGATAAATCTAAACAAGTAGGGCATAGATATTTGTTAAATGGGGAACTACAATTTGGAATTCTTCACCTTTGAGAATTAGTGCTGAACTGCAGGTATGATTCTCCAAATAGATTTATTGCCTCTCTCTTTCCATTTTTACTTGGCTAGAAGACTGATTGATACCAGCCTTTTTCATACATAGCCATAAAAACTTTGAGAACATATCCAGTGCTAAAGAATTTAAGTTAATTGACCCTACTTAATCTAGCTGTATTAATTCTTTCATTAAATTCAATTCTATTATGTTGTCTCCTGGTCGGTTGCCATTCCTACATTTTTCCAGTGTTGTGCTGAACAATGCTTCTATTAACCTGAGATGTAGCTGAGGACGAGCTCAATGTTTGTTTTAGAGCATTATCATTTACTCATATTTCTGCTGAGTGGGTTTGTGTATAATACTGTATATTAAATATACTGTATTTTCATACTATATTATACATTAGTTTAATGTATATAAATTCATTTATATCTAAAACGATCATACTTATTTTCAAACAAGAGTAGAATTTGGAAAATAGGTGAATATATTTAACTGTTTTTAATTCAATGCAATAGGTAAACATATATATATATATAATTTATTTGGGGGCATTAAAAGAAATTAAAAATTAAAAAGAAAATAAACATTGGGAATGAGGGTGGAACTATTAAGAAACACCTGAAAAATAAGTACGCTTAATTACTATACTCCTGTAGTTTAAACAATTCAGTGTTTTATCACTGAGTACAATTATATGTATATTATGTAAGTTCATAATTTTTGAATTATGCTATAAAATATGGTATGACATTTATTGAAATGGCTTTTAATACTTTTAATGTTTATATCTGTGTAGTCGTTGTTTGTTGTACTCTTTGCTGTGTGTATTGAATGGTGCATAATTAGTTTCTAGACCTGTGTAAGGTAAGAAGAGATGGTAGGCTCCAAGATACGTATTCCTGGTTTCTGGCTGCCTTGCCCCTCTAATAGTTAATTCAACAAATACAGCATAAATGTAATTTAATCTTGCCATATTACAGTGCCTATTCCCTTTTCTTTTAATGCAATCGGTTTTTCCAGAGTTATGTGTGCTAACACATCTAACGAGGACTCATAGCCTCTGGCATTTTCTTGTTCAACAAATAAATTATTAAAATATAGAATGAAGTTGGACACGGAAAGAGATCTATGAAAATATTGTTGCTACTCAAAATACCATTGTAAGAATGTGTATAGAGTTAGAAAGATTATTTAACTTAGTACAACTTTTCAAATTCTAATGTCATTGTCAATATTATTGTTGACAACTTTCTGTTCTTTTGCCTTATATACTAAGACCTTTTAGGCATTTTCTCATTTTTTTTCTCATTTAATTCTCACACCAAACCTAAGTTTTTACAGAGGGAGAAACTGTTTAGAATGTTAAAAGCAGACACTGAAGTAAATAACACAGCCAGGATTAGGCTACAGCCCTAATTAACTATAATGTTAGATACCTAAAGGTACATTTAAGAGAAAGTATAATATTAAGCAACAAATTTCTTTTCTGGCCATGGTGACTATCTATAGTAGATTTATTTAAAAATGGATTTGTTGGACATTTACTGCAGGGCACACCTGGTAAAAGGAACTTGTGGGGAGAAAAATGAAAATAACTATAGTGCACCATGCTAGTTCTATGGTAGGGCTAGTTTTGAGAACTGTGTACTGTGGTACTGTACAGAATCCATTATTTTGGGAGGGTGGCTTCTGGAAAAAAGTGTTATCAAATATAAAGCCTGCAGAGGGAGTAGAAGCAAGGGACAAGTCTAACATGGCATCCAGGCTTTTTACTATAGCAACTGGGTGGAGGGGAAAGTCAGCTGTTTTTCGGAGGGAGAGTTCACAGGAGGATGATACCAAAGCACATCATTAATTCCACTTTGAATAAATACATTGATAAAAAGTTTTGTGAGGGGTATGCATTGGAGATGTTCATTTGGCAGTTGGCTGTACTGTGAATTTGTCCCACAGGAGCGAAATATGAGTTACAAATTAAGCTAAAGATAAAATATTGGTATGAGTATAATAAGATTATAGTTAATTCTTCAACCTGTGTTAGAATTTGCTTTAAAATGCATTATTTAGCTTTAGAATGATACACGCATATTCACACGCTTAAACATATATAATTATAGCTTTTGTTATTTGGTTATATTTTTTCTCAAGATAATTTTTTTTTCATTAGGTTATGAGGGTGAGAATCTGATGAAAATCTTAAAAGACATTGAAAACAGCACAGAAATCATGTTGGACAGGTGGAAGTTTGAAGTCATACCTAATGACAAAGATGAGAAGGGAGACCCAGTGCCTTACAGTATCATCAATAATTACTTTTCCATTGGCGTGGTAAGATTTTCCACTAACCATTCTTTTTTTTACCAGTTCTGGATAATCACTGATGTAAACTCTTATACTATGAAGATTTACTGATTATAAATAATTTACCTTTGTGTCAGCAAAGCACCTCTTCTAATGGGTAATAGTAAAGCTTATGAATTTATTTAAAGTCAGAGAATCAGTGATGATTTTTTCATGTGCTAAACAAAGGAAAGAAACTATATTTTATGTAATTGGCTTGACCATTTGTGTTAGTAAAATGAAGCTTAGAATGGTTTATAAGGTAGTTATAAGTTTTAGAGTACAAGCTACAGTTTCACATTACTAAAAATGTGAAAACAATGCATCAAATTTTTTCTTATTTTGAAATCTACATTATAATATCATAACCTATTAGGTTTTTATTTATAGACATTATTTTAAAATTTATGGTTTAGTGTAAAGTCTAAGAAAAATGCTGCTAGCATTCTCAAGTAGTTAATAAGTCAAAAGGTTAATTTTTCACTTTCTTGAAAAATTTGAGACCGAAATTAAAATATCTTTGGGCAATTTAAAGAGTTATTAAAATTTCAATCCCTAAGAAATTAATAATTTTAACAGTAATTTTACTTGTATTTATATATATATTACCCAGTAATTATGAAGTCTTAAAATATATTATCTACAGCATTATATTCCATTGAACATATTTTCTCAATATTAATCTTATATCATGTCTCATTTCTCTCTTATGCATGTGCATGTGCACACATACACACACAGACACAACTAGCAAACTATAAAAAGCATTGGTTGAGTCCATGAACTTAGGAGTCAAGCTACCTTTAGCAATTTCTTTTTCCTCTTAGTGTGCATTCATTTAGCCGTATCATGGTAGTTATTATTTTCTCTCTCATAGTTGTAAATAATGTGATTATACATTTAAAGAGCCTCGTATAATGATGCATAATGAAGGCTAAATATACAATCTTTACTAATACTATGATAATGATTATTATTATTTGCAAGAAAAATGTAATGCATTTGATCCATTAAAATTCTATTTATATTTGATATGAATAACAATATTTTAACAGCTTTATTGGCAAATAACTTACACACAACCTAATTCACTCATTTTAAGTAAACCTTTTAATGATTTAATAAATCTATCCCATATTAGAGTGTTTTCATCGCCAAGACAAGAACCCTCATGCCCACTTCTAGTCAATTCTGGGTCCTTTCCCCAGTTCCAAGCAAAGCTCTAATCTTTCTACCTCTAAGATTTGTCTTTTATGGATAGTTCATATAAAAGAAATAATACAATATATCTTTTTTGCACCTGGCTTCTTTCACTTCACATAATGTTTTGAGGTTCACTTATATGAACTAATGAATACTGTATTCCTTTTATTGCTGAGTAGTAAGTATCCCGTTGTGTGGATATATCATATATTGTTTATCTCTTCACGGGTTGATGTACATTTAGATTGCTTCTGGTCTTTGGATATTATGAATAATGCCACTGTCTTGAGTCCCTATAGTTAATTTTTTATTTTGCTTACTGTACTTTTTGACTCAAGAATTTCTATTTGGTTCTTTTTTATATTTCTAGGTCTTTAATTGATATTTTCTATTTGAATAGTCATTGTTCTTATACTTTCCTTTATTATTTAAGCATAGTTTACATTAGTTTTTTTGATCAGTTTATAATAGCTGTTTTGAAGTCTTTGTCTGCTAAGTCCAACATCTAAAGTCCATCAGAGACATTGTTTGCTTTTTCCAAAGTATGTGAAACACTTTCCCATTCCTCTGCATATTTGCTAATTTTTTGTTGGAAACAAGAGATTTTATATAATATATCATAACAACTGTGGATTTGCATTCTCCCATAGGTGTTATGCTTGTTCCTGTGTTTGCTTAGGGATTTCCCTCCACTAATTATAAGGAGCCTTTCTCCCCTGTAGTGTATGGATATACTGATGCCTCAGTATTTTTGTTTTTGTTTTTTCTTCTTGCTTTTATATTAATCCTGGTTTCTAGGGATCATTCCTGTGTCAGCATGATTGACCAACGTTTGTGCTTAAACACCTTGAGACAGTTCATCCCTTTGCCACTGAACCTGTATGTTCATTGGGGAACACATACAAACTGCAGGCAATTATTAATCTGATTCAGCTTTTAATATCTGCTGGCCTTTTTGTCTCTTCTGCTCATGTAGAAGGCCTCTCACTTAGCCAAAGATGTATAAATAACTATGGCCCTCTTTGGACTTTCCTGAACATATGTGTGACCTTGTACATTCATATAGCCTTTCAGACAGCCAGGAATATGTGACAGAATATCAAGGCCCATTATGGCTGTCTCATTCTCAAGATCTCCTTGAATATCTGGCTAGTTGGCTGGTTAGTTGCTTGCCTTAATCATTTTCGCAAACTGAGGCAAGCTGCTACATTTGCCACTGAGATTACTATTATTTTGGATAACTCTGGGTCATGGAGTTTTTCCAGCTTCCACTCCAAGTCATGTTAGCTCCCCTGACAGTAAAGTTGCTTGCTTTCATAACTTGCCCCACCCTGGTAGATCTTTAGTACTGATGGAGGTGGAGGGTAAGGTAGCAGCTCAAGGTTGAAACATCACAGATTGCCTGTGTTCTTCTCTTAGGTTCAGTAGTTTTTCTTGAATAAATAGTTCTCAGGTTGTTATATGCCTTTGATCAATTTTCAGTGGTCCTCAACAGAAGTTATTTCCTTTTCATCACAGGAGACATTTGGCAGTGTTTGGAAACACATTTGATAGCCATGGCTAAGAGAGGATTCCTACTGGAAGCTAGTGGGTAGAGGATAGGGATGCTGATAAACACTCCCAGTTCATAGAATAGCCCCCCCAAACACATAAGAAAGAATTACACAGCTCAAAATGTCAATAGGGCTGAGGTTGAGAAACCTGGTATCAACAAACCAATATTAAATACAAAACTCAAGAGGTTGGAAAAGGGGAAATAGCTAACACATGAAGAAAAGGAAAGCTGTAATAGAAATAAGACAGGACATACAGCAAAGAATAACAAGAACAAAAAAAATTGAGTATGTTAGTGAAACCAAAAACTGGATTTTTGAAAGTAATTAATCAAATCTACTGCAAAATTGACTTTATAAAAATATTGTAAAGAGAATTGCAAATAAATAATATAGAGTGAAAAAAGACCAAAAATCCCCCCCGTAAAGACAAAACATAATATCCCAACTGAAAATATTTTAGGAGTAAATAAGGAAGTGTAGCAAAGTTACTAAATATAAAATCAACTTAAATATTCAATATTATTCTATTATATAAGCAATAATCTATACATTTACAAAAACAGCAACCAAAAAATTAGAACTATCCAGAAATTAATAAAGAATATACAAGACCTAAAAACAGAAACATTAAAACTCTCTACAAAGACATAAAAGATCAGAATAAACAGAGACATTTTCTATTCTTAGATGGGATAGCTTAATAATTTGTAATATGCAAATTAATGTATACCTTTAACCTGTAAGTAATCAAAATTAGAGCTGGATTTTATGACAAATTTGAAAAACTTTTTCCAAAATATATATAACAAAGTAGCTCAGTCAATTTTAATAAAAAGAAATGGAGAACTGTTTTACCACATAAGACATGTTACAAATGAATTGGATAATTATAATAAAATAGTGCAATGAATGAATAGAGGAAGGACTCAGTGGAGAAGCAGAGAGACACATATTGAAACTCAGTGTAGATGTGGCCCAAAATCTCATTGGAGAAATAATGGTGCTTAGTTGATAAGTGTTCAAAAACTACCTTTCTAGGGGGAGAAAATTTTGTTAGAACTCTACATTAGATAGGCAATTGCTGGATATATTGAAGTACTAAATTTGAAATGCAAGGTTTAGGACCTAATTCAAGAATATGTAATAGCATTCATTTATGATTTTAAGGTAGAACAGAGCTAAACAAGGTAGATTTTGATTGCGTTTCTTTAGAAGGGTCCTGTTCCATTTAAGTTGGAGCCTCTTTCACTGAGTTTGACATGGGAAGGAGAGGTGTGAAGAGAGGGAGAGCATCCTTCCCTGAAATATTTGCCTCTGTCCCAGCAAGACGGAGGATAAACATTCAGGGTCACAATCAGACCAGTAGACCTTATAGAGAGTTCAAGCTTTGGCTGTCACTCAGCCAGGCCACCTTCTATTTAGCAACTTACATTCCTCTGCCCCAGTGAGTGAATCCAGCAAACAACAAAAAGAACTGAATTGTGTACCTCAAGCTTATATATTCCTGAATATATAAGAAACAGTGGAACTGGAGCATTGAAAGAATAAGGGGGACATTTCAACTTTTTTTTTTTTTTTTTGTGGCACGCGGGCCTCTCACCGTTGTGGCCCCTCCCATTGCGGAGCACAGGCTCCAGACGCGCAGGCCCAGCGGCCATGGCTCACGGGCCAAGCTTAAGATGGCACATAATTTGTACTTGAAATTATCTCTAGGAACCCTCCTACCTCCTAGTTACAAGGTGGTCTCAAAACTTGACTCTACTGTTAGTGTTGTTTTCATTATTTCAATGATTGCCTTTTATATACTGACTGTAAGTGATTTACAGTGTAAATAAAACCTTACTTCAAATTTTTAAGGAACCTGTGAGGCAAACCTCAAAATATTAGTGGTCTGACAACAACTAAAAATTAGTTCTTCCCTCACGTTAGGACAGCAGGGGTTGACTTTTGAGGAGAGGCTCTGCTCCACTTGGTCAGTCATTGACCCAGGGTCCTTCTATCTTGTGGCTCCACCCTCTTCTTGATACACAGAGCCCTCTCTATTTCAACAGTTGGGCAACAAAAGAGGGTGAAGTGTTGGCGTTTGTGTTTGTTTGTTTGTTTGTTTGTTTGTTTTTAATAGACCAGGCCTGTAAGATGTTCAGCTTGTAACCCATTGGCCATATCCAAATCAATTAGATGCACCTAATTGTAAGGAAGCTGGGAAAGGAATTCTGTCTGCCCAAGAAG